ATAAGGGTACCCTTTCTTTCTGTTGTCTACTTTAGTAGTGGAACCCTCCCCCAAAAAAGGGTAAAAGGGCACTAGGTAAGGGAACGAGGAAGCCGATTCTCTACTTTACGGCTTGCCTCGGGCATCAAACGTGTATCCGGATGCCAACTTGCGCGAGCGGCATTTGCGTCAAGGAGGCCAAGACGAACTGCATGCGAAGCACCTGGCACAAGAATTGGAGCAGCGAATCGAAATCTGCCCAACTCGGAGTGATTGTGGCACACTGTGGAAGATAACCCAAAAGACACAAGGGATGAACATCCCCAAGACCTTGCCGTCTTCACTTGCATTTTGGAGGTGGTACCCCTTTTTGTGCGGAAAGCAAGACACTTGTGTTGAGCGGCTCAGCGAACAAGGAACGATTTTGCAGCAGATGATTGCACCTGGGGTTGGAGCAACCATGCCTTAAGCAAAAACAGTCCCGTCTGGCCTTGGTTTTGGCGGTTTGGAAAGTAGGGCGGCAATTGCGGTCCGATCTATTTGCGCTTGGACGCGAGCTCAAGAACACTTGCTTTAGGCCCAAGAAAGCAAACATCCCGGCACCCCAAGCCATCCAAGGTGCCCTTTCTTGGCGCGAGGTGATGCTTAGTACGTTTGTTGGGGTTGGCTGTCACTTGTTGGGATGCATGATCTTAGCTTGTTTAAGAAGTTCAATTCATCCGACCCCCCCCCCAACCATGGCATTTTCCAGCCGACACCAAGCAACCCTGCCGTGCCTTGTTGTTGCTAGATGCGGAACCCGCTTTGGACCATTTTCACAAACCGGAAAATCTTCAAACATCACCCCGCCCACAGGAAACACACCTCAAAAGGCACGAAAAACATCTGATGTTTACAAAACATCCAAAAGAAAAAATATGGGGGTCCCGGACTTCGGGGTATTTGGGGCCCCTCCGCTCAAGCTACCCCCGGCTCGAAAGCGCGCGCTCGAAAGCGCGCCTCCTTGTCCAGCTTGGGGCCACCGGCTCCGGCGTAGCTGTCCACGTAGACGTCCAGAAACTTCTCGAAGTTGGCGTTCTGAGAGGACGGGAGCCGCGGCTCCAGCGGTAGTATTATCTTGCATTTGTGTTAGTTGATCCGGTGGTATTCTTGATGAGGCATCTTGCATTTGTGTTAGTTGATCCGGTGGTATTCTTGATGAGGCATCTTGCATTTGTGTTGATCGACCTGACATGGAAGTTTGTGACATCCAGTCCCCCCTATTTGGTTGATGTGATGCTCATCAGTCTGGCTCAATCGGAGTTGGGAGTTGGGAGCTGGCTCGAACTGGGCGCTGGTTCCTCGGTGTTTGCCTCTACAAGCACCAGTGCAAAATGAACAGACCGCCAATCCAAGCCAACTGAGGGCTACCTGATGGATGTGACTAGTGGGATACAAAACACAATTACACCAGCATAGACCCCAGATAGCAATGATTGCACACCAGCACCACCAACAGCACCCCCCGAAGAGCGTCCCAAGCAGCACCCGGCCGTCAATCGAGCATCCGCGCCATCACTAGCACCTCCAACAGCACCCCAAACAGCATCCCAAAACAGCACCTGCAGCAGCACCCCAAACTGCATGCCCCCTGCACCCTGCCGTCAATCTCGCAAAAAATGCGCCTGCACCGTCACCCTAAGAGCACCCCAAACAGCACCCCCCCAGACACCCAGCCGCACCCCAAACAGCATCCCAAAACGCCACCTGCACCAGCACCCCAAGCTGCGTGCCCACTTGCACCCTACCGTCAAGATGCAAAAATGTGCCTGCACCGTCACCTGCATGCCCGATAACACCCGGGCGTCAATATCGCACATTGCGCCCGCACCGTCACCAACACCTCAAACAGCTCCCCAAACAGCATCCCAAAACACCACCAGCACCAGCACCCCAAACTGCATGCCCCCGTGCACCCTACCGTCAAGATGCCAAAATAGCGTCACCCCCAAAACAGCACCTGCACCAGCACCCCCAAACTGCATGCCCCCTAACACCCTACCGTCAATCTTGAAAAGATGCGCCCGCACTGCCATCAGCACCTCAAACAGCACCCCAATCCGCAAAAACCAGCACCCCAAACTGCACGCCCCTTGGCACCAGCTCATCAATCTCGCAAATCACTTCCCCCTCTTTATTAGAAGTTAGAACCCCTATAGCTTTCAGCTATCTGGGGAAAAACGTTCCCCGCCAGCAGAAAGGTTAAAGGAGTGCCAAAGGCATCAGCCACATCAGCGGATGGCTTGTGGAAAACAACCAAAATCAAACAGAGACAAATACAAAGCCTGGCCCTTCCTTCGTTCCTTCGGCCTTTGCCTTCCTTCGGCGAAAGAAACCTTTCCTCGGAAGAACGCGATTCGATCTGAGCCACGGGCCAGCATTTCAAACTCGCCGCAGTACAACCACCACCAGAGCTTGAAGCCTGATCTGCCCGAGTCTCTCACTGGTCAACATGAGAAAACATCTGCAGGTTGCTTTGATTTGGCGTCCTTTTGGCTTCCCTTCCAAACTGTACCGAGTTCAGCTTGCTTTACCAACATCTCACTCCCTTCTGGGAATACCCCCAACCTTCCCAAGGATTCAAAGCTTGGAAGGGGCGCATTCCCATCTTACCGAAAGTGCCTGGCGCTGCCATGCTTCTGCTGAAAGAAAAAAACCAAAGCTCCAGTCCCGGTGCTTTCCCCCGGCTCTGCTTCGGCATGCGGAAGGGCTGGCAAGCGCTTGCGCAACCCAACGTCGCCAGGCTGTTTTTGGGCCTGGCCTCATTAACTTACCATGATCAAAGTCACCCCCTAAGTGGTGGGTTAGAGGGAAACCACCGATTCCATTTTCTGACTTTGATAAATCCCCGGAAACCGTCGAAATGACCCCGGGCTTCTCGAAAAGGACTCCCGAGCGTCGGTCGGCTAAAGCCCAAAGGAGGCCACGAATGGGTTGCTTTTGTTGACCTAAGTTAGACCCAACAAATGTGGGGCTCCCTTGTGGTTTGCCTTTCACGGTTGGCTTCATTTGGTTTCCCTTTGGTTTGCCTTCGGAACCAACCAGAGCCAGCTCCCCTAGGGTTGTTCCCACTCGACCACCCCTGAAAGGCGGAAAGTTGGAAAGGGGATCAAGAGGACCGCCTTTCATTATTTTTCCATTCTCAAAGTTACCCCCTCATGGATGGATGGTGGTGCATGTGTGCGCGTGTGTGCGCGTGCGTGTGGCGCGCGTGCGCCCGTGAGGCGTGTGTTGGTGGGTGGGTGTGTTGTGGGTGTGTGTTGTGTTGTGTTGTGTTGTGTTGTGTTGTGTTGTGTTGTGTTGTGTTGTGTTGTGTTGTGTTGTGTTGTGTTGTGTTGTGTTGTGTTGTGTTGTGTTGTGTTGTGTTGTGTTGTGTTGTGTGTGTTGTGTTGTGTTGTGTTGTGTTGTGTTGTGTTGTGTTGTGTTGTGTTGTGTTGTGTTGTGTTGTGTTGTGTTGTGTTGTGTTGTGTTGTGTTGTGTTGTGTTGTGTGTGTGTGGTGTGGTGTGTTGTGTTGTGTTGTGTTGTGTTGTGTTGTGTTGTGTTGTGTGTTGTGTCCGGCTTCTGACTTTTGTGTGCACAGATTCATTGTTTGGCACATGTTCAACCTTGCTACGCTATATGTTGAAGAACGTGGAGCAGGTCAATCCCAGACCAGAGATGTGGGTGTGTGTGTGTCTTGCAGGGAGCCCCTGCAATGGCCTTGGTTTTCCTTTTGGCTTCCATTTAAGACCCACCAAAAAAAGAGGGACACCTGCAAAAATGCTCCCAAAAAAAAATCCCTGGGGGCCGCTCGCGGCGTGAGCCTCGAAACTCGAAACGCGCCGCGCCGAGGCGCCGAGGGAGCGGCAGCCCATGCCGCCCCAGTCGAAGACCCCCAGCTCCAGCTGGCCCTCCTCGTTGCGCCAGAAGTAGGCCTCGGGGCTCGGGACTCGGGCCGGATGTGGTGGTTCCTTTTTTGTTTTTTTTTTGGCCCAGATCGAAGTAGACCCCGTCCCATTTATTTGGAGGGAGAGGGGGGGTAAGGGGGGGTAAGGGGGGGTAAGGGGGGTAAGGGGGGTAAGGGGGGTAGGGGGTAAGGGGGGTAAGGGGGGTAAGGGGGTAAGGGGGGTAAGGGGGGTAAGGGGGGTAAGGGGGGTAAGGGGGTAAGGGGGGTAAGGGGGTAAGGGGGTAAGGGGGTAAGGGGGGTAAGGGGGGTAAGGGGGGTAAGGGGGGTAAGGGGGGTAAGGGGGGTAAGGGGGGTAAGGGGGGTAGTAAAGGGGGGGGGGAGTTTTGAGGTTCGCGTCGCTGGCCATGTTACCGCAAGAAACCGCTAGGCCACCCAAACTAACAGTAATTTGACCCCCTCTTTACAAGGCACATGTCAGCTCTTCAGGTATTGACACGCGCCAGGCTAACCTTTGCGCCTGTCTGGCAATGAAGGTGGTCCGCGCTCAAGACAAATGTGGATAGGGCACCTGTTTGATGCTGTGATAGTTGGAATGCTTTCCAGCCTGGTGACTTTCAACTTGAACCCAGCAGAAAGCCGTCGAGTATAGGCTAGCTATTTGTGGGTTGGCTCCCGCTTCACTCGGTTCAGGCAACTCTCTCGCGGAAATGCAAACACCAGATCTGAAGGAAATGCAAACACCAGATCTGAACTTTTTTATTGCTGGCTCCGAAGAGTGAAACGTGGAAGGAAACTGCATGCAACCAGTTTCACATTTGAGGCACCCGTTCTGGAATAATTCCAAGCTCCATTCTACAGCTTAAGCACTTTAGAGTCTTCGACTGGGGTTGAGCAAGTCAGAATTCTGGGGTCGTGTTCATTCAACTATGGGGCTGACTTGCTGATTTGCTCGCCTTCCCTCTTGGTGCAGCCATATAGGCTAGTTTCTCATTTACCCTCTACAAGTACCAGGCCTGCAAAGTGAACCGACCCCTAATCCAAATCAACTACGGGTTGCCCGACTAGCAGGACGCTTTTTGAAGCTTGCCGCCAACCCTAGCCCTAGGCCTTCAGGGAGGCGAACGCTGTCCATGGAACGAACGAGGGGCGTTTTTCAAGCGCAACGGCGCTTTAACAAACGTCTTGGACACCTGACAACAAACAACAAGAAGACCTGCGCTGTCAGCGCCCCGTTTCGATTGGTGAGCATTTGTGTTGACTTCGCACTCATTCTCGGCACGGGCGCATTGTCCACGTTCATGTTTGCGTGGGCAAGGGAGATGTAGTCATTGTCAGAATGAAACCAGTACCTTGCCAGCCAATGGCACAGCGTCTGGTTGAGAAGGGGCGTAGGTTTCTGGAGGCAGCCTTTTCAGCTTGGATAGGGAAACCAACAAGGGTTCTTCCTTTTTTTGTTCCTTTTTTTCTTTTTTCGAGGGGGGGGGGGGCTAGTTTGGCGCATACCTAGTGCCTCTACCAGCATCGATGGACGGCTGCTTATTGCGTTCAAGCCCTTGAAAGCCGCTCAACATGCAGGAACCCCCCTTTCTGGGCCTTGGAAAACCCACAGGAACCCAAACCCAGGAGGGGTCCAGCTAGAGGTGGATGGACGAAATCTCGCAGTTGGTGGGATTCTCCCATAGGGCTTCATCCATCTCAACTGGTGGATGCTCCATCCACCGGATTTATTCACGTTCATTCATTGATGTATGGAATCATCAGCCATGAATTGCCAGACATTTGACTCAAAGCAGCCAGATCCCCCTGATAGTAGACGCCTCTGGCAATGCCATGTTTATGTGCAGGAGATCGAACCACAAAAGCTTCGGCTTGCAGGCATCCGTCCAAAACTGAGGGCTTCCTAGCGGCGAATATGCATGTCTTGCTTGGTGTCGGTACCCTTTTCATCTCTGTTTGAGGATGGCTTCAAATAATGGGAGCTAAAGGAAAACCGATCTTTTGCGGGCTTCGCGACATAGAGACAATGCAAACAACAAGCTGGTTTGCAAAGGCAGGAGCGCAAGAACCGCCCCTGCTTTGGCATCCAAACCAGAAGCAGCTGGCAAGAATACCGCAGCAAAGCAATAGGGGGCCGCCCAAAACCAATACCCTGGCAATATTCTGTCTGTCTGTTGCTCAAAGATGCCTGGGAAAACTTGTTGGAGCCCACTGCTCACTTCAAGCCTTGGCGTTTCTGAAATGGGTATGCTTCAACTCAACTTGGGGGGAGGGGGGGGAAAGACTTCCAAAACCCGTCTTTGGGAACAACCGTGCACCGAGGGCACCATGTCGAAACATGTCCAACGGTCGAACGGTTTTTTGGCTGAGTATCGTTGGTTTACTGGTACCAACCAAAAAAGCAATACCCTCTCCCTCCAAATGGAAGCTGCCGATCTTGGTCCTTTGGGGAAGCCCCAAAGCGATATCAACACCCGCCCTCCGCTGGCGAGCGGATTGGGAACCCGACAGCCCCGACCGAACCGTAGGGGCCCCCGGCTGGGACTCCCCTGCATAGGCATTGAGCTTCATTAAGGTCGCAGTGAACTTTGCCTGAAAACACCGATCCACCGCTTTCGCTTTGTGGCTTCAACCATCCCCTTTGCCGAATGCGTTCCAAGTTACGCATGTAGATATGGTGGCTCATGAGTAATGTTTACAGGGGGAATACGGGTGTGTGCACGTGAACCCCCCCCCAAAAAAAATGGCGGAGTCCTTTTGGGCTTCGCTTTACCACCCCGGAAATGTGTTTTCCTTCATGGTGGTTGGCTTAAAAAGTTGCGGTTTTATGGGGGTATATGGGGGACCAGAAAATCAAGTCCAGGCACTCAGGGAGTAAGATGTGGCATAGGGAGACCCGCGTGGAGAAGCTACTTTGTTGCTTTGGCCAACTTTGGATTCAGCGTCCCTGCCCGCCGACCGGCCCACGCATGAGCCTTGAAAATGTGCGAAAGTGCTCCGTGGACATCCGGTGATCGGCAGCCAGTGTCCCGTCTTTGCACGACCCAAGTGCCGAGAGGGGCAGCCAAAGTCCAAACTTGAAGTCCAGAGTCTGGACCCTAAGGACATGAGTCCAATCATTGACCACAAGGTTCTCCAGCGGCTTTCTTGGAAAGGCTGCGGCTGAAAAGAGGCAGTGAACCTGCCCTGGGTCAGTTTTTTGCTGTCGCGCTAGAAAGGATCCAATTGAATGCCAGCCCAACCGGGCGACTTTGAAAAGCCAACAAAGTCGCGTGTCTCCAAAGCTCGGCCCACATCGATGCAGGGACAACTTAGGCTTGTCTGGTCCTGCTTCATATTGAGCCTGCCCTGTGTATATATATATATATACATATATGTGTGTATACATATATATATATATACACACACGTATGCAAGTCATACATATATATATATACATGTATTTTAGTTCTGAAGGGGCCCAGCAACACACACCGTCCAAACCATCGGGACTTGTTCCATCCCTCGGGCCTGCCAGGCTGGATCCTTCACGAAGTCGGGGTAAAGCTGAGGCGCCACGTTCGAAAAGAACTCCAGGCCCATGTCGATCTTCGACCTCGGGGCACGGAAAATTGGAAAGGGTTCCAAGACACCCATATGGCTCTGTCTCGAAATTGGGGATCCCCCAAAATGAGCGGCTTCCTCTTGGCATCCCTTTAACATCGAAAGACAAGCCCATATGGGTATGAAACGGTCTGAACTTTGGCGGTTGGAGCACCCTGCACAATGGTTGGTGGACATGAATCCCCTTGAACATGAAGTCCAACAGAGGGTCCCTGATTGCAAGCTTGTTCAGTGTATATACCCCCTTTTTGCGGTTTTTTCCTAGGGCTGGTTGCGCAGGGTTGGCAACATCCCCAGCATCGCCAGCCTCACTTGGCCCTGGGGCCGCCTATTGGCTCTGATTTCATGGCAGTTGGGAGCTGCTGGGGACTGGTTTAAGTTAGGGGGGTTTTGGCTGGCTTAGATCTTCATGAGGGTGGGCCTTGGGGTGGTTTGAGAAGCGAAGGGCTGACATCCAGGCTGCTGTTGGGAGGGTTTAGGGTTGACTTTGAGTGGGCCTGGGTTGGTTTGGAGCTGAGTTGTGGGTTCAGCAGCGGCTGTAGGGTTGCTTTAGGGAAAGTGAGTTGTGGGCGAGTTTTAGTGGTTTGGGGCAAGGCCCCAAAACCGATCCTAAACAAACCACCCCAAGACCCACCCTCATGAAGATCTAAGCCAGCCAAAACCCCCCTAACTTAAACCAGTCCCCAGAAGCTCCCAACTGCCATGAAATCAGAGCCAATAGGCGGCCCCAGGGCCAAGTGAGGCTGGTGATGCCGGGGATGCGACCAGCCTCACAATCAATCAATAAATTAACCAACCAACCACCCACCCACCCACCCAACCAACCAACCACCCACCCACCCACCCACCCAACCAACCAACCAACCAACCAACCAACCAACCAGGGACCAGCCCTAGTACAAAAACCAGCCCCGGGAAAAAACACCGGATCCTTTTGCGGGGATCCCCCAACAAGACACGTCCAATATGGGTAGTCTCAAAATAGGAATCGCAACCCTTGATTTTGGTGGGTGTCCTTTGGGCTGTTGCTTTAAGCCAACCCGACTTGTCGGGTACCGAGCCTCAAGAAGGACACACCTATGGATGTCCAAATGCAGTTGCATAGCGATGAACTCAGCGAACTGGGCAGTTGACCGGTGACCCTGGTAGACAAAAAGGGCCCCTTTTGGTGATTCTTGGGCCGCTAAACTGGAGCCAGGTACTGCGCTAACCCGCTCAACATGAATAAACTCACTGAGCCCGTGCGAGGAGTTTCACCCTTTGTTTCGAGGTTCAGACTAACCCTCTTCCAACAGTCCCCATATGTCCAACCTGAAAACATCACCCCTACACCTTGTGCCAAACAGTTGACAGAAAACATTGGGTTTCCTTCTGGGCAAAAAACCAGCACGGGTTTTCACCCTCACCATTTTCAGCGGGTCAAAGAGGTGCGAGAAAAAAAAACAGAAACAAAAAGATAGGGACGCCTGTCCCAAAGGGTGAAGCCTCTGGACCTCTTGGCTTCCCGGCTTCAACATCTTGGGCGGCTGCCCCGAGCAGCCCGGCTGCATGCCGAAGGCCTCCGGCCCATGGAGCGGGCCCCAAATGCCGTTGAAATGGATCGAGCCCAAACCTCAAGCCAGGAGCTTCTTTCTTGTTGATCTTTTATTTTCTATTCCTGGCCCCCAAATGATCTTTTATTTTTCAGAGGGATGCCCCGCCCCTGTTGCACGCCGAAAGCCACCGGCGGAAATGGCACGCCGAGTGGGCGAATGAGCCTCCGCAGGCGCGCCCAGCATGTTCTCGAAGTGCTTGGCGACCTAATGGAACATCGGAGTCACCCGGGGGGTGGGCAAGTGGTGAACATCGGCCCCTCCGCTTGAAAGGAAAACCCAAAGGATACTGTTTACACAATACCGATTTAACATGATTTAAACATGGTTGCACTAGGGGTGGGCTCAACCCCGGTCACATAAAGCCGACCACCACCCAAAAGGCTCCCCACGTTAATTAACCCAAAAAAAACAAACGCCGAGGTACCCTGGAACTCCATCGGAGTCGCATACTTCAGAACAAAGGTCACAAAGCATAAGTTACGACACCAAACTGAACGAGTTGATATGCCAACAGCGGTGCCGTGTAAGCGGTTGGCCCCAACTATGGGTCCTGGAACGACTTTCTACGCAAATTGTGGCTTCTCCTCTGAAATCCTTACTTTTAACTTTTAGATCAAACCAATGGAAGGAAAGGTGTTAATAGGCCTTAGCCCGACGATCCCAAATTGGCCTGGCGGATTTTTTTGGGGGGTGAACCGTTCTCCCCCCCCCCCCCCCCCGCAAATATGAAGGATTCCTTTGAACGGGATGCTGCCCTAGTGCCAAGCAATGGTTGATTTCCCCCCGGCGTTCTACAGAAATTGCATAGGGCTAGAGTTCAGGACACGGAAAAGTTCGAAGTGTAGATTCGTATGCTTCGAGTTTCAATCCACATAGCAAAAGGCTTATTTGATCAACTGGGTCCAACCCAATGCATTCCAGCCACTATTGTCCTTTGGGTGTTTGGGCCCCTTGCTTATCTGGTAAATGAAACCACTGGTTCCTTTGCTTCCTTCGGTTGAAGCGGATCCTTTGGTTACCTATACCTGGAAATAGACACCACTAGGCATTCCATTGTTTTGCTCGCCCCACGCGCAGCTCGCTTTCTCAAGGGAAGCCAATGGGTCCAAGTCCAGCCCGGGTCTGGATGTGCTCCTTTCAGTGAAAGGGTGCTGGTACCTGGAAATGGAATCACCGGCCGAGGGGTTGGATGTTTTTTTTTTCCCCCGTTCTTCCTTTTGACCATGGGGACCTTTCTTCTGCTGACCCGCACCTCCCACCCCATTCTTTGGGCCCATAAACCCAAAGCGACAATGGAGGTACACACATCGTTTCTGCTTTTCAACCGAGCCCCAGCCATCAGGGCCAAATTAGGCCTCTTGGCGTTTGGTTCGAATTGGTCCAAGTGCTTTTCGAGGCGGTTGGTATGGAAAAACAAGCCAAGTCGAAACACGGGACCAACCTGCATATTGCGCCCTTTTAGCACAAAAGGTAAAATGGAGGTCAACAAGAAGAGGTTGGCGGGTTGGACAAATGGACCCCCCCCCCCCCCCACCGGCTTTTTGGGCCTAACCAAAAACAAAAAACAAAAAGAGGGGCGGGGGGGGTCAACCCAAAATGTCAGGCACCAAACACCCGGCGTCGTTGAACAAAAAATGCCCCACTTCGCAACCACCGAGTTTTACCCCGACCTCGCTGGGTTTGCCCCAAACATGGTCCCACCTCGATCGGCGCGTTTTGATTTTTTCTGTTCTCCCACACTGGGCGTTCGGTGCGGTTTTTTTTAAACCCCCCCACTGCGCGGTGGGCCAAACCCACCGAAACCAGCGTCGGGTTCCACGTCCAGTTCGAGGCTTGGGCCACGTCGGGGTCGCCCATGGCGCCGGACTTGAAGAGCCCGGCCATGCGCGCGCCCTGCCGCACCAGGGCCTCGGGAGCCCGCCCGCCACCCGCCGGCCCTCGATTCGATTTTCATGGGGTGTGGGGGCAAAATGGGTGGGATCGCGGTGGGTTTGCGGTGGGTTTTCTTGGGCTGAGCTTCTTTGGGCTGTCTACTTTTGGTTGGGCGTTCCCAGTGGGTTGCCTTTTTGGTCCTTTTTATGAGCCTGATTCTTTAACCAGCCTGAAGGGGCTCCGTTTGGAACATGCATGCTTGTGTAAAAAAAACAAACTGATGCCAACACGGGCAATTCCCATAACTGTGTCATTGCAAAGGGATGGTATGACAGACAGTGACCCTAAAACCCGGTTTCCACAAGCACGAGTTGGGTCTAGGCTTCGTTGTTTGAGTTCAAGTTTAGGGTTTTGATGTTTCAGACAAAGGGTTGGGGTTGGAAAGGGTTTGCGTTGATAAAAGTTTGGGTCTAGTTGTTGTTGGTTGAGATCAATTTTAGGGTTTGGGTTGTTCTGGCTGAGACACAAATGGTTGGGGTTTGGGTTTGGTTCGAGTGGGAATGCACAGGTCTTCCTTCACTGGTCTGTGACCGACGAAGACCTGGGCAAACTGCAGGGACCTTTGCGGGTGTGCTTGTTTTACCCCGACAGAAGGTGAGCCTGTGATGGGTTGCCTCCAACAGGAGCAGCAGCGCCGTATCTTTGGGCCCCCTTTCGAAAGGTGAGAGTTGACCTTCCCAGCACGTGAATCCTGTTCTCAATCGCCCTCACTTGCTTTTCTTTGCAGGGAGCATGCGTTGGGAAAGCAACGGGAGAGAAGAACCCACCCTGTTTTTGGAGAGTGTTCCCAAGGAAGCCAACTATTTTTACGAGTCTATACAATACAATGTCACAACACATGTAAATACAAGAATACACCTGTCTTTTCAGGTTACGAAGAAGACTCTTAGGATGATGTCGTCGGGGATTGAGAGGTCCGAATCAGGCGTCCCTCCCTCCCTCGCTCCCTCGCTCGCTCTCTCTCTCTCTCTCTCTCACTCTCGCCCCCTGTAATCTCTGTATGTATATATATATATATATACAACTATACACATATACACATATACATGGGCTTGTTTTCTAACGGGGACCCCTGGTTTCTCTTCCTTTGCCCCACAATCACGCCACCTCTCTTGTTTCCATCTTCGAGCGGCCATATAGTAGTCGGCCGGGTCCGAGAGCAGGCACCAGTCCATGCACTTGTCATAGGGCCCCTCAATCTGATAGGCCGCCAGCCTCCGCGATTCCGAGTGGGACTCCAGGGCTACTTGGTCGCTTGAAAGGAGGGGCCGCCAGAAACTGGCCTCACACCGAAGGCTTCCGGACCTACGGTTCTTTCGGCAGCCGATCAACGTTGGCATTTCATGTGCCCAGCGGCGGCTTCTTTGGCTCATCCCTGGTCTTGCCGGCAAAGTCCAAGGGCCTCAGAGCGGGTCTTTTTTTTCGCCGAACGCCCTCGATGGGTTCACGCATGGGAGGCTTCCAAGTTCTGAAGGAAACCCAACGACCCAAAGACAAAGCAGAAACTGCCAGTTTTGGGGTGTCTTAAACAGGGGACCTCAAAGTTGTGGTGTTCTCTTTGGTTTCCCTTCAAAGCAACCCCAAAAGGGTAGCCATGGTAGCCTCAAAAAAGACAGACCAATATAAATCTCTCTTTTCAGCATCACCCCGCCATTGGCCCAAAGCGATGATTGAAACCACCCACAAAGGAACCCTCATGCCTGCTCTCTCCCACCTGGCTCCCGCCCAAAACGGGTTGCCCGTTCCTTTGGCTCAAGGGAAACCCAATGGAAACCACAAACCGCTCCCCGGATCCCTTTCAGCTTAGCTTCATTCCCCCGGATCGCCTCTCAGCTCCCCTGCCACAGAAATTGGCTCAGGGGGGCGCCAGGCAAAAGCGGGGCGCCCGCAACTGGGCACCGGGTGCCGGGCGATGGATCGTGGAAGCTCACCGCCTGCAAATCACTCAGAACCCAGCGCGTGGACCGAGGTCAAGCAAGCTTTTCCAAGGGGATGCATCCCTGATCCAAGAAGGGTCAGAATCAAAACCTGTCACCCGAAGAAAAAAAGGGGGAAGAAAAGAGGGAAACAAAAACGATGCAAGGTCTTGCACTGGCAGAATAGCCACGCCGACGTTTGTGGTCGAAGCTTTCTGGCTCAAACGGGCACGGCCCGTTTTGTGCACGCAAAACCGTCCTCGGAAGGCGGCCCCGTTTCGGGGGGCAGGGCCTTGATGATCGACCCCAACCTAGGGTGCTCCCATGGCTGGCACACCGAGTCGTCCAAAGCGAGAGTCGTCCGCAGGTCTGCGCGCCAAATAGGCACTCTTCAATGCGGGTTTGGCCCTCCATTTTTTTGGGCGGGGGGAGGGGGGGGAGGGGGGAAATGGATATAAAAAGGGTGCATCACTTCGCACGCCTCCGTGATCAGGATCCAGTTGGAGGTCTCGTTGCTGATGTCCCCAAAGTAGAATCTGGCCGATCTGCGACGACCGCTTTGCGGGGGGCATTGGTTTGAAGCAAAATGATGCCACGCTTCATGCGCTCGTCCGAACGAGGACTGGGCGGCCGCCTTTGACCCTCCCCCGGGCATGTGGGAGCGGGATTAAAGGTGCAAAATGTGTCCACAGCGATCGAAATTCCTGGTGGCTGTAGACAAAAGGCTTGAATACTAGTGAGAAAATGCCCTTGTTTACCTTTAGAACCTCGCATGACGAGCATGAAGAGTTGTTCAGAGCAAGCTTTGTACAGTTCATTGCTAAACACCATTTACCAAAAAAACACAGAAGAAGCCGCATCATTTGTTGGCTCTTTCCCAACACGTCCATTGTGCGCAAATCCTTGACATCTGACCTTGCTTACATTTGCACGGCATTTCAATCACAGCTGTGGGAATATCTGAGATCGGCCCGGCAGCGCTCAACAGAAGCAAAGGTGGACTCCCACCATGAGCAGGAGCAAAAGGAAAACAACCTTTTAGGGGACTCCTATATTGACTCCTATTTCGAGAAATACCCATAGCCCATGTGTAAACAAGGGTTGAAACATGGTAGAACCAGGTGGCCAATGCATTTGCAGCTTTGACCCAACCTGCCTGGGGATCTTCACCGGCAACGTCGCCTGTGCCACACCGAAATCCAACACCCAAAGGGCTGCACGGACCCTGGGCCATTCTTGTGGGGTCACTGGATTTACCCTAACGGTTGAATAAAACTAACGCCACTTTTGGAGGTCCAAACACGAGAAATTGGAGGGCTCCTGAAAACGCTTGGGCTTGGCAAGAAGTTTGTCCGCAACCCTAGCCGGGTTTCCTGGGGCAGGTCGGTTCTTTTGAGGCGACCCCGATGAACAGCAAAAGGCTTGGTTGCCCAGATCAGGGGTTAACAATCTAGAGAAAGATAGCGGCTCTCCAAAGTCTTGGCGTGTTGGCTCTGGAATTTCGCCCTTTGCCTTGGGGCCTTCCTTTCGAACAGGGCAAGTGTGCGTTGATTAACAATTTGGACTCTGCATCTCCAGTTGCCATACAGCAGAAGTTTAACGTATTCACCACTTCCCCAACCGATATTGAAGTCAGTACGAGAACATTTTTCAGGCCCCATTCCTAATGGCACTGCAACAAGGTAGAAAAACGGACACTGTGTAAAGGAGAACCAGAGGAACAAACGACACCAACTTCTACCTTGACAGGTGTTGATAATAGGACCAAACGAACCCTTGCGCCTCCCAGCAGCTCCTCTTAGACCCAAAGACGAGTTTTGCTGGAAGGGAAGAAAACCAATCCCAGGTTTTTGCAGGTTGACAACGGCAACGCGGGTGACTGCAGAGGTGACGTCTTGGCAAGCGAAAATTTCGGGAAGACTCCGAGCGTCCCGAAGAAAGCGAGCGACTCGCGACTTTCCGCCTCCAGGAGCCGCGAGGTGTTGAGCTCGTAGAGCTCCATGGGCTGCTTGTTCACGGAGCTGCTGAGGCGATCCGACATGGTGTCCTGTC